TAAAATATTATAATTAAATTTTTTATCTCAAGTTACCATAACTTAATTAAAATAAAAAACATAACTTATAATATTAATAATTAATTTAAACTATATTTATGATTAATATAAATAATTAAATAAAAATTATAAATAATTAAAAATTATAACTGCAGTCATCTATTGTATAAATTTTTTTTTTTGAACATTCATTATATTGTATAAATAAAAATAAGATCACTAAAATAAAATATATCACTGTAGATATCATTAAATTATTAGACTTCTTTACTTATTTAATCGACTTCATAAATATAACCAGAAATCTCGACATCAACAGTGTATTCGCTAAATATTGTCCCTATCTAATGTAAGCTTTAACCGGCAAGTCGGTCAAATCATCATAAACGTATAGCTGCAGAGATGACCGATTGGGTAGACCTGTGATCCATGACCCTTTGTACAAGACGGAGAGCAGCTTTACGTGTTGGCGGGTGTGCTTTTATCTTTTTACTATATTATCATTACCGTATCGTATCGATTGTATTAATTTTTACATTAAATTAAAATAATATATAATTTTATTTTATTTTGATTAAATTTTAATATATTGATCCATGTATCAAAATATCGATCCATACATAAAAATTGATCAGTATCACTCAATTCAAATTTAAAAGAAAATACATCACGTTTTTTGTTCTCAATTTTAATATTTTATGTAATTTTTACTTTTTAATTTTTTATATATTTTTTTAATCTATCAATTATAAAAAATATATTTTTTAGTTATTATATTAATTATTTTATTAATTTTATCTAAATATACACATTTTTAATTCTTTAACTTAAAGTGAATAAATGAAAAATATACATATATTAAAAGTTGAGAACTAAAAATATCATTTTAACTTTATTTTTTATTTATAGGAATATTATGATTTTAAATATTAATATCTCTTATTTTATTTTAAAATTTGATATTTAATTTATAAAAATATATATTTATAACAATAAATCTGAAACGATACGTGAAAAATTTTAATATTCAATGTATATCGTTTTAATAACAAAATCGATATATATACCAAAGTTGTCAATACCGTACCGGCATACGTACCGGTTTTGCTACTGAAACGGTACGTACCGGATACCGAAATTTTTCGCGTACCGTTTCGGATTTATCGCTATAAATATATATTTTTATAAATTAAATATCAAAATTTAAAATAATTATAAAAGAAATTAACATAATTAAGAACAAGATTTGAGAAAACCTTTTGAGTTGGTATAATCCTTTCTTTCTTCAACCATTAACCTAAACTCCATTATAACTCAAGCAAAAATCCTTTAGATACTTTAACTTAAAAACATTAAGATGATAATAATGATTAAACAGACAATAGAGAATCATATTCAATTTAAAAAAGCTAAAAGCATTCATCATAAAGGTTCATCACAAGGGTTCTTCACTTGTTTCTATCCAAGGAAAATTAAAAATAAACAACACAATTAATTTCAAAACATTACTAAATATCTTGAACATAATTATGAGGATCCTCATTTGGAGGAATTCCATAACCTGTAACTCCATCAATCCCAACCCAAAGTTGTTCATTTTCATTTTCATTTTCAGGAATCTGTGGGATATCTTCCTCATCATAAACAACATTATCAGTATCATCAAGACTTTGATTTGGCAAAGACTCATCAATAGCTGCCCAATCCACATCACAATCATCTTTGTCAAGAAGAGCTGGTTCCTCAGCCACCCAATCAGCTAATATATCAATATTTTC